AAACTGCCCTGGGAGAGGATTCCCGGCAATGCAATGTAAAGGAGAAAAGCTCAGAGGCAAAAAGAAAAAGAAAAAAAAAGAAAAAAAAAAGAAAAAAAAAATTTTTTTATACCCATACTATCTAAACCTCTTTTTTTAGTCTGGCCTCCCACTTTTGAATCTTGACCAGGAGGCCCTGCTAATTTCTCAGCCTCAGCTATGACATTTGCACCCGGCCGCACAGTATTGATTCATATTCCAGAACCCCTTGTGGTTAAGGCTCTGTGGACAGCAGTGTGGTAAATCAGAGGAGTGAACAGTATTGTTGTTCTTTATATAAAAAGCCACCTTGCTATGCTCCATCAAAATTGGTGTTGTCTTACCTCTGTAAGGCTTACCCAGTATGCTTAGTTTTCCAAAGAAATCAGTGTTACCATGGTATTTAACATGGGTTTATTACACTTTTATGATGCAAATTCAGAATTACATTTATCTTGTTCTTTCTCCGCAAGTCAAATGTTTTTAAGTAGCAGGAACCTTTCCCCTTCTTATCATTTGTTTATGTTAAGGCCTGTTTCTGGGTAGATAAGCTCTGACTCATTTTAAAATACATTGTACAGTGCGATTTGCCTGGACTTTGAACTAAGGGGGCAATCTCTCTGTTATTTCAAATGTAACAGTGATCAATTTAGAGGCTATGAGGATTTCACATCTCACAGCTCACCTAAATGATAAAAAAGTAACTTTTTTTTTTGTCCTTCTAGGAAGACATGATTAGTTTGTTTTAATATGTAGGATATTTCAGCAGTTCCCTGATTCTTCCATCTGAAGTATTTGGAGTTAAATCTTTAAGAGTTTAATATCTGTATATCATTAGCATTCATTGCTATTTATGGCATACAGTTATATTTCAGTTTGTCTACTTAAAAATAGTATTTTAAGATAAATTTAGGTGCATTTGGCTGCTAACCCTAAAGTTTACTGCCGCACGATATGATGCTTTCAGAATTGTAACGTGGTAAAACTGTTGCATGGAAAGCCATGAACCTTCCAGAACCAAAGAAGAGTTCTCTCTAAATCTCCCTAAAAGGGCCCACTGGCAATGCAGTTGTCACCTCTGGTCTTACCTGGGAGGAGCAGAATAAAGGCATCAGGCGTGGACCTGAGCTACAAGTCCTCGTTGTTCTAAGTGACTATAAAAATGGGACTCATTACGTTCTCAGTAGACATATGTGCCCTTTGGCTATATCAAGTGTGGGTGTTCCATGTAACATGCTCATTAAAAAAGTCCTCTCCTCTTGCGGCTGGCAGCAGCATTCTCATTCAGAAAAGTCAGAGCTCAGAGAGCTGCAGTCCCTCCCGTGAGCCCCCCGTTTCTGGGCCTTGAGGGGATCACTAGATGAGAAGACAGGGCTGGAGAGGTGGGTCTATGAACATCCCGGAGGGAATGGCAACGTGGGGGCTTTTCTGATCAGCATTCCAGAAGAATCTTTCTAGCTGCCATGCACTGAGTGACTACTCATGGTTGCCTCTTGGGAAACTACTAGGACTGCAGCCATCCTCTCACCTCAGGCACTGGATCCTCTAGGATCCTCAGAAGTTTGCTTAGGAGATAACTCTGGCTGCGGAGGAAGAAAGCCAGTCCCTTCCACAGTCATTCAGGGCAGCGTTTGGATCAGAGCTTTGGCACTGGAGGACAGGGCAAACAGTAGATGCCTTCGGGTCAGCTTTTACTACTAAGAAGCTTAAATCACCCCAGCTCAGTGGTCAGCAAACTCATTAGTCCACAGAGCCACATATCAACAGGACAACGATCGAAATTTCTTTGGAGAGCCACATTTTTTAAACTTAAACTTCTTCTAACGCCACTTCTTCAAAACAGACTCACCCAGGCCGTGGTAGAGCCACACTCAAGGGGCCAAAGAGCCGCATGTGGCTCATGAACTGCAGTTTGCCAACCACAGCCCTAGCTGGTTTGGCTCAGTGGATAGAGCCTCGGCCTGCAGACTGAAGGGGTCGCTGGTTCAATTCTGGTCAAGGGCACATGTCTGGTTGTGGGCTTCATCCCCAGTAGGGGATGGGCAGGAGGCAGCTGATCAATGATTCTCTCCCATCATTGATGTTTCTATCTCTCTCTCTCTTCCTCTCTGAAATATATATATATTTTTAAAGAAGCTTAAATCAATTAATATATTCACAGCCCTGCTCTTAGAAATGCAGCTTCTCCCGTCAGTCTTCACTGAAGCCGCCCTCAGTTAAGGATTACTATTTAAACGAATAAGGATGTTCCCCCAAAAACGTTTAATAGCCTATGGCTCAGTTTTGAAAACAAAATGTATTTCCATAAGCACTGGCTTCATAATTATTCCAAGTGTGTGTATACATTTTTTGGGGGGAGACCCTCTGTAAGTAGTCTTAAATTATTTAGTTCCATTCTATTGTAGATCGCAGGTAAATACATACTTGTTTTGCTGTGAGGGAACAACTCAGAAACTCAGTGTGCTGGCTGCTGTTGTGAAACAGTTAGTTATCAGAAACTGTGAATTTCCTAGGTGAAAAATTAGACTCTGTCACTTTCTACGTGGGCTTTCTTTTGTATGGATCCAAGAACTTGCCTTGACTTTCCAAATTTATTTTGCATCCATTGAACACTTTATGTCACTCCTGTTTTAAGAACTTACGAATAAGAACCTTGACATCAGAGGTGGATTTGTTTTTGTTTTAAATATATTTTATTGATTTTTTACAGAGAGGAAAGGAGAGGAATAGAGAGTTAGAAACATCGATGAGAGAGAATCATCGATTAGCTGCCTCTTGTACACCTCCTAGTTAGAATGTGCCCACAACCCAGGTACATTCCCTTGATGGAATCGAACACGGGATCTTAGTTTCGGCAAGGATTTGTGTGTTTTAAGGTTTATTTCAAGAATGTTTAAAATTGAAACAACTATGGAAGCGCCCGCGTTCTCGGGAGGTTGTGGGCGCTCGACGGGGAAGCGGCTCGTCGGTGCCCCGAGCTGCTAAGCTCCCGCTGCATGCATCCCCGCAGCGCGGCCGCAGGGGCCATGCTGGCTTCGCGCGTGGCGCGGGGCTCGTGGGGCGCCCTGCGCGGGGCCACATGGGCGCGACCGGGCAAGGAGCGCTCCCTCGGGGCCCTGCTGCCGCCCGCACCCATCTGCCTGGGCCGCCTGGCGGGGCGCTGGTGGCTGCGCCCGGCCCCGCTCGGCCTGAGGCCGCGCGGAGCGGGCCCGCGGGGACACTGCTCGGGCGTGGGGAAGGCGGCCCCCGCGCCCCCGGCCGGAGAGGGCGCCGCCGCCGCGGCCCCGGGCGGCCCGTGGGGCCCAGAGAGCGCCGCCAACCTGTATGAAAACCCATGGACAATACCAAATATGTTGTCAATGACGAGAATTGGCTTGGCTCCAGTTTTGGGCTATTTGATCATTGAGGAAGATTTTAATGTGGCGCTAGGAGTTTTTGCTTTAGCCGGGCTAACTGATTTGTTGGATGGATTTATTGCTCGAAACTGGGCCAGTCAAAAATCAGCTTTGGGAAGTGCTCTTGATCCACTTGCTGATAAAATACTTATCAGTATCTTATATGTTAGCTTGACCTATGCAGATCTTATTCCAGTTCCACTTACTTATATGATAATTTCAAGAGATATAATGTTGATTGTTGCTGTTTTTTATGTCAGATATCGAACTCTTCCAGAACCGCGAACACTTTCTAAGTATTTCAATCCTTGCTATGCTACTGCTAGGTTAAAACCAACCTTCATCAGCAAGGTAAACACAGCAGTCCAGTTAATCTTGGTAGCAGCTTCTTTGGGAGCTCCGGTTTTCAATTATGCTCACGGCTTTTATCTTCCAGTACTGTGGTGCTTTACAGCTTTCACCACGGTTGCATCAGCTTACAGTTATTATCATTACGGTCGGAAAACTGTTCAGGTGATAAATGGCAGATGAATCCATCATCATTAGCAAGGAAGCAATATGCATCATTGGCAGCAGGGCCAATGGAAATGTACAGGAGTCTCCCTACTTTGAAAAGGACTTGTCAGATCAAACCATGTCACCAATATTTAATGTGCATTGAAAATAAGCTTGATCATGGGCATATGCAGAATTTCCAATGTATTTTTAAATACAAATAAAACTATCATTTAGAATTTTTTACCATAAAAAAAAAAGAATGTTTAAAATTAACTCCACAACTTTGAACATAGGCAGTTTATAAATTAAGTGAAAATTTCAGTCTAGAGAATAAAACTACCGATTTACACATTGGAGGGCCTAGATCACTGTTCTGCTTATATTACAGCCAAATCCCAGATTCATAACTTGTTGCTGTTTTATTATGTGAAGGGAATGCAATGAAAATCGATAAAAAGTAACTTTCAGTTGCTATATGTTTTCTTAGCAGTTCTTTGCGGGACTTAATCTCTTGTAGCAAACGAGACGCCTCTTAATTAAGAATATAAAAACGAGGGTACCATCTCTCCTGTGAATTCTTTTCTTTCACAGAAAAAGATGAGCCTCCACTCAGCAAGGCCGGGGAGGACGTGGTTTTGCGTCTGCCCACGGACGAGCTGGTTTTGGATGGCCGCGAGAGCACAGACGACCACGCCATCATCCAGTATGAGTGGACACTGCTGCAGGGTGACCCGTCAGTGGACATGAAGGTAACTCATGTCGTCATTGTCATGAAAACTGATGTTTCAGGAAGTGGTCTTTGGTAATGTCCTTCCACTTAGGCTCCCAAAATGTCTTTTAGCTAGCAGAACAGGTGTAAAGTGGAGAACACATAAAAGTGACACTCCAACAAATGGTTCGGTCTATAAATTTACTTTACTTTTCTTTTTTTTCTTTTTTTCTTTTTAATATATCTTATTGATTTTTTACAGAGAGAAAGGGAGAGATAGAGTTAGAAACATTGATGAGAGAGAAACATCGATCAGCTGCCTTCTGCAGACCCCCAAATGGGGATGTGCCATTGGCTGGAATTGAACCCAAGACCTTTCTGTCCACAGGCCGATGCTCTATCCACTGAGCCAAACCGGTTTCAGCTATAAATTTACTTTTCTACTGAGTAAACAGTGCTCCTGATCCTTTGTTTTAAAGCTTACTTTGTTCTTGCTGCTTTTTTGCTGGCTTCACCAGAATACCAAAAACCTTTGAGGAAAAGAGACTCCTGCTTTGTTTTAATGACTCAGATTGCTGCTTAAAAACATTTATTTCTTCTTTTCTTAGTTCAAGATCCAGGTAGGGAATATAAAAATTACAAAGGAAAATGTATAAAGTATAAAGAGGAAAATGACAGCAGTACAAGCCCATCTTCACATGATCCAGAAAGCAGACATTTTACCTAGCAGCTTGGGCCTGTTTGAGACAATGAATGACCATGAGTGGGAGATAGTGACTATCGAGTGACTGAGTCAGGTGCTGCACCCTCATTTTCACAGACTGGTCTGAGGCTAGCTGCAGTTGCCACAGGACTGAGCTCCACGTCAGCAGCTGCAGGCCAGGATACAGTATTTCCTGGCTTGGGCAGATCAACTTTCTCTAAACCATTTCAGAAGTGGGGGGAATCTGTATTGGTTTGCTAGGGCTGCCACAGCAAAGTAACCCAGACTGCATGAGTTAAACAACTTAAGTTTAGCAAAGCCGGTTTGGCTCAGTGGATAGAGCGTCGGCCTGCGGACTGAGTGGTCCCGGGTTTGGTTCCGGTCAAGGGCATGAACCTTGGTTGTGGGCACATCCCCAGTGAGGGGGGTGCAGGAGGCAGCTGATCGATGTTTCTCTCTCATCGATGTTTCTAGCTCTCCATCCCTCTCCCTTCCTCTCTGTAAAAAAAATCAATAAAATATATATTTTTTAAAAACCCTATGTTTGGGTCCTCACAGTTCTGGAGGGGAGAAGTCCAAGGTCAAGGTTCCAATAGGGTTGGTTTCTTCTAAGGCCTATAGTTTCTTCTTGGCTTATGATTGGCTGTGTTTTCCTTCCTGTGTCTTCATGTGGTGACCTCTCTGTGGGGAGCCACTGATTTGTATTTTATTGAGATTGAAACAAAAACAATCACCTGGTCTCTCAAGACTGATTTACCTACACTGGTTTATTCAGCGGTTATGCAGTCTTAGAATTGGGCTGGGCCCCTGTTCCACATGGTACCCGGCCTCCCGTCCATATCAGAGCCCCTCTGTGACATACCTGGCAGAGGTCTCCCACTCTCTGCCCAGATATTTCCAGAGACGCACGCTCACTACTTCACCTCAGGTTCTGTGGCGTCTGTAGTCAGCTGTAATTATTGGGCACACAGGAGATGCCTCCCTGTTACTTCTGTGTGTTGGTGCTGGGTGTTCTCTTTGGAAAAGCATTGGACACATCTTCCTTTACTCTTTCCCTTTAACTCTTTGGAAAAAAAAGGAATGTCACTTGGAATGCTTTCCTCAGAACGCAGTACTCCCCCTTCTCTCAGATGAACTGATTTCCAGACAGTCCACCACCCAGACTCTTCTGTATTTTCTCAGACTCATCCACACGCTTCTTAAAACCTGACACCCCTGTTTGAGCCCCGTATGTCGACTGAAGGTGTGTGTATCTTCCTGACACAGATGTCAGCTCCTATGGTCCAAACATTGTCTCTGCTCCTATTAATGAAGCTTAATTTACATAAACTGTTTTAGGAGCTGCACCATGGGCACGTGAGTTTCTCACTGGCAGGACTACCTGGAACCTGCCTCATCTTTTACATGAACAGCTGGCCTGGTGGCCTCCCCATCTTGTTTGTGTAATTGACTGACTGAACCTGAGTGCAGGACCTAGTATTTACCCTGTTTACATCTCAATAGAAATAGCCTAGCTGGCATGGCTCAGTGTTGGAGTGTCAAACTGTGAACCAGAAGGTCATGGTTCCATTCCCAATCAGGCACGTGCTAAGTTCCAGTGCACCCAGGATGCTGAAGGTCATTACCCAGGTCTGGATGCAGGCCTGGTGTTTCCCGCACTGGAGAGGAGGGGCCTGGGAAGGCATGGAAGCCCAGGGACAGGGGGTGCTCTGGCCTCCACCCTGAGTTGGATACGACTCCCTGCACACCGCAAGCAGTGTTAGAATGACACTTGTGTGTTGAGAGTTGACCCCAAAGGCCCAGCAACTCACTCACCTCCAGAGAGTGCTCTGGCCCAGCCTGGTGGCCACAGTGACTAGACGCCTATGAGGGTGATCAGCGGGGAATAGAGGAGCTCAGACACAGAGACAGAAGCCAGGGAAGTAGGGAGTCAGAGGCAGGAGTGGCCAACATTGCTAAATACAGTAAGGGGGCCAGTTCTATGTTTTGAAGAGAAAGAAGAAAAAAAAAAGACAAGAGGAATAAGTATTGTTGACCTCAATGCTAGGTGACCCTTACAAGGTTAGTTAGCGAGTTTTCCCAGCACAGTGCCTGGGGAATGGTGGAGAAAGAAGCCAACTGGGTGGGACAAACAATCAATGGGAAATGAGCAAATGGAACACAGATGTCAGCTCCTGTGGTCCAGATATTGTCTTTACATTGTCTCTAGTGTGTGCAGCATGGACAGCCCTTTCAAAGAAGTTGAAGTGAAAAAAGGAAATAACCCTATGGCTAGAGAAGACCTGGGGAATTTTTATTTCTCATTGTTTGTTAGGTCACTAAGGAACTTGAGCCACGCAATAACATTGAGGTCTCAGAAGGAAAGGGGTCAGGGACTAGATGGAGGGCAGAGTGTGGGATGGAGACAGGTCACTGAATGACAGAGGAAAGGAGATGATGATGGTACAGGCGCGGTACCATGGCAGTGATGGAGGAGCCAGGACTGTAACCATACTTGGGGTCCTCATTTTCTTTTGGAAGTAGAGGGGTCTCCTGCTGAGAAGGAGGGACTGGCTTCTGGGGGTGGAGCAGGGAAAAGGTGCAGGTCTAGAGCAGTGGCTGCTGAGGACAAGTGAAGGGTTGTCCGTCAAGGGTATTGTCAGTCCAGAGAGCACTGGGAATTGGGAATTCAAAGCAGGGCCGACATGCCAGAACGGGGTAAGACTTGGTAGTCCGCAGCCTTGGACAGGGAAGGGAGAGGCAGGTCGTGGGGCTGCTAGGAGGACGACGCAGCTTTCCAGTTCAGGACGACGCGGGACTCCCCCTCCCATCGCCTAACCAAGTGTGATGCCTCCTGTTTGGGTGCAGGTGCCTCAGTCAGGGACGCTCAGGCTGTCCCACCTCCAGGAAGGAAGGTACACCTTTCAGCTCACCGTGACGGACACGGCGGGGCAGAGGAGCGCCGACAACGTCTCGGTGACCGTGCTGCCGCCGGCCTTCTCCACGCGAGGTGAGACAAGTTTTTCCCTGGACTTCACCGAGGCCAAAGGAACCAGACCCCGTACAGAGGGTGGGGCCCGAGGGCATTTTAGATTCTAGCTACGCGTTCCGCGGGTCTTCCGTTTTATTTTTGGGGTGTAGTTGACCGAGAGAGTCTCTACTAAAAATGTGATCCCAAAAGTAGCTGCTCCTTTATGCTTCGGGCCAGCAATACTGCTGGACTGAGCTGGGAATAGACTGGGAGAGCCTGGGACCCGGACCGGCTCCACCGTTCTTTACCGGATGTCATAAAAGACAATCACCAGGCTTTTCCAGGAGAGGACCTGTGTAAAGGTGTGCGGTCTGTCTGATGTGTACGTTCAAGCGCGCAGCAAGGAGTACATTGAAGATAACTCAGCCCTAGCTGGTTTGGCTCAGTAGACAGAGCATCAGCCCTCTGACTGAACGGTCCCGGGTTTGAATTTGGTCAAGGGGATGTCCTTTGGTTGCAGGCTTCTAGCCTGAAATCTTTTGTCTGCGTTCCCAGCGTCAGGAAGCCCCCCAGGGGTTATGTAGCTGAGTCTAGTAGAGTGGGCTTACTCCGGAGTGGGGAAATGCCTTTTAGGGAAATACACTGTGGCTCCTATGAATTAGAATGCGGATTAAAAACTCTTGGGAGCCCCCAAAAGGAGAGAATTTCATGATTTAGAGAGAGTAAATTCATACCAGCCAGTATCTTAAGATTCTGTTTATGCATATATATATATATATATATATATATATATATATATATATATATATGATTGATTTTTTACAGAGAGGAAGGGAGAGGGATAGAGAGCTAGAAACATTGATGAGAGAAAAACTGACCAGTTGCCTCCTGCACACCCGCCACCGGGGCTGTGCCCGCAACCAATGTATTGTACATGCCCTTGACCGGAATCAAACCTGGGACCTTTCAGTGTGCAGACCGACGCTCTATCCACTGAGCCAAACCGGTTTCGGCAAGATTCTGTTTATTCTTTACCGAGGAGGTATGGTAGTCAACAAATAGGGTTCAGTAGTAACAAGTTAATCTTGGCAAAAGTCACTGCTTGGGAAGCGAGAATGGAAGACATAGCGTGTGTAAAATGGTGTATGGAACACAACGGTCAGCCACCCACGTGCCATGCAGGGTGCACCTGACCGACAAGGTGATGGGATGAAGGAACTAACGCAGCGCGGGGCCCCAGGGAGGAGGCCCAGGTCAGGATGGGGAGGACCAGATCTGCTTCCTCTCTCCTCCCACCTCGTGAGAACAGCTCCAAAGTGAAGCCTGAGAGCTAAGCCAGGGGCCTCTTGCTCCAGCTCTGAGTGTTGGGTGCTTCCTTAGCTGTACCTCTTCACCCACGTGCATTTCATCGCACGCCGAGTCCCAGTTCATCCTGAGGGGGACGCCGCTCTCCTGCAGTCCCGTGACCGGAGTCTTGTCTGTGAACAGGATGCTCGAAGGTTTGCTCACGCCACCACTTCTTCTGTGACGACGGCTGTTGCATTGACATCACACTGGCTTGCGATGGAGCCGAGCAGTGTCCTGACGGATCGGATGAAGCTTTCTGTCAAAATTGTGAGTTGGCCGCATGGCCTGCTGGGGCAGAAGGGATGCCTGAATTTCCATGATACCATGTTAGTCAATGTGGTTCTTTTTCCGCCGGCTTCAGATGTAACTTGATGAACAGGCTTTGCCGTAATTGAAGCAGCGTTGATTGAGTCTCTAATGCTAGTTACAAAGGTCAACTAGTCTATATTGCTTACAGTTTTTCAAAAATTGTTTGCACTTTTCCGAAAGATGCTTCGCCATTGGGAAAAATGCTCTATACTAGACGCTTTTTCAAAAATGGAAGTGAGTTAACATCTTGTTTGGATAAAGTTTTTAGAAAATGCATGACAGACTGCGGTGTGGCTAAGTCATCTGCAGAGCAGTCTCCTGTCGTATGCTTACGCATGAACCGTAGGAAAGAAGAAAAGCTGCAGAAAATCAATGAAGTGTTGGTCTGAGGAAGGATGGGGAATCTCACAAGGTTTACAAGTTTTCTCTTTGTCAATTTACACGTGACAGAAAGGTAATTACTTGAGGAGAGATCACTCATTTGAAAACGAGAGAGAGCCGAAACCGGTTTGGCTCACTGGTAGAGCATCGGTCTGCGGACTGAAAGGTCCCGGGTTCGATTCTGGTCAGGGGCATGTGCCTTGGTTGCGGGCACATCCCCGGTAGGGGGTGTGTAAGAGGCAGCTGGTCGATGTTTCTCTCTCATTGACGTTTCTAGCTCTCTATCTCTTTCCTTCGTTTCTAGCTCTCTATCTCTCTCCTTTCCTCTCTGTAAAAAATCAATAAAAATATATTTTTAAAAAAAATGAAAACGAGAGAGAGGTTTTTATGAGACTCTGACATGTCTTAACTGGGTATGTTATTATCCCCAAATACCCATGACGTCAAATCTACTGCAGATTTAGTGGTTTTGGTTAAAGCTCAGAAAAGAAGCCCAATAAACAACTAACTAGCTCTTGCACACTTCAGTGAGCCTCAACCAGAAGACGGGGACTCACACGGCGACTTCCCAGCCTAGCACCATCGCAACGAGCAAAGATGCAGCAGGACGTGCCCCAGAGAAGCCTCAGACAGCCGCTGCCCCACACCGGCCGCCTGCGCTCCCAGACACCGAGAGGAACCATTCCGCCTCCTGGGCACCAAAGATTCAAACTGGCCCCGTGATGCCAGGTAAGGGCTCGAGACAGGTTCTCCATGAAGAGCTTTGATTTCTATAAGGACACTTGGCTCAAAATTAAGGTTATATTTGGAGAGTGATGAGGAACTATCTTAAAAGGAAGAAGAAGCATTACCATGAATACTTTGGCCAAAAGAAAAAATAAAGCTTCCCATTTGCACTGATTATTTTTTTACTAGAGGCCCAATGCATGAAGATTAGTCCAAGAACGGGCCTTCCTGCCCTAACTGGTTTGGCTCAGTGGATAGAACGTCGGCCTGCGGACTCAAGGGTCAAGGGCATGTACCTTGGTTGCAGGCATATACCTAATAGGGAGTGTACAGGAGGCAGCTGATCTATGTTTCTCTCTCATCGATGGGTCTTACTCTCTACCCCTCTCCCTTCCTCTTTGTAAAAAATCAATAAAATATATTTAAAAAATAAAATAAAATAAAAGAAGAACTTGGCTGCCATCATGACCTTTGCTCTAGCTCAGAGCCACCTTTCTGCTCTGGCCCAGAACTGCCTTTCCACTCTGGCCTGGAGCTGGCCTTTCTGTCTTCCCAGGCTGCTCAGAGGCTAGGGTAGTGTGGCATGCCCCTGGTTGCTAAGCACATGCATATGCAAATTAACCCACCATTTTTGTTAGGTTAATTTGCATACTCCTGATTGCCTGGTGGGCGTTGTGAAGGTAAGGTCAATTAGCATGTTACACTTTTATTAGTTAGAAAATAATAAGAAACACCTACTAA